AAGAACAAGACATCATTATTTCCAAAACACAGCAACAGAGAGAGAAAATCGATGAAGGACATGGAACACAAAAATCCTTGAAAACAATTTAACATTTTAGAATATACGGTGCATGTTTGGGAAACGTTTTAATTTCCTTATAATTTAAGGTCAAAGTAAAATTTAACACATATTTCATAAGATCCACAACTATTATCCACTTATCCAACACTCATTTCACATTACACTTTTAGCAACTTATATTTTACCCAAACAAGCTAATACTATTTATTCGATTACTCAAGTATATATGTAACATGGAGCAACAATCTCGAACAGAAAAAAACAAAACTAACACGTCAAATAAATCAAGATTACATAAAAAAGAGCAATTTCAAAAGAAATTTGCGAAATCAATAGACCATACCAACAAATTAACATTATGACACGTATACTGAGAGATATAACGAGTTCATAATGCAGTTAGGTAGGAGAACATGCCATATGTTTGATGAAGACAAATACAAGCATATGTAAATGAAGGGCTAGATTTATACCGTTTAATTCTTATCATTCACAAGCAATTTTAGTGTCAAAGCTGCTAAGAGAAATGGCAAAAGCCTGGAATGCTGATATAGGATAGAGGTAGTCCATTGTAAACACATCTTTCCCGACTTTCCCAAACTGAAGTATAACTTTTCCCTGCTCTGATCCAACAGTGCCACTCTCAGGAGAAGCCACCAATTGAAAATTTTTAACCGATGCAACAATTACCCGACCATGAAAATTCAAACACCAGCACTGGAGTTGCTCATGCCATCTTGGAGCCTTATTTCTCAGAACAAGTGATCTATCTCTTTGGCCATCCAAAGGTCCAGATAAGGCTTTATCCAAGTCATTTGATTCTGACTGGAAAGAGGGGATATGTGGAAAGGAATCGACACTGCTGACGTGAAAATCCATCTGTGCGGGAGCCACACCTCCAGGTTTAACAGCAGAAGCTGGAATCGCATCCATGATACATTGCATTCTTCTCGGACCCCTGAATGTCACACAAAATTATTTTATACTTTTCCAATCAATTTCAAACACTCGAAGAGATACTGAAGCCAATAATCTCTTCCCCATAGGAAATTTTACAAAATTTCTAAAAGTGAATTTCACTTCAATATGCCTTTTGCAAATGTAATGTTCCATTTTAAGATATCATTTTAGGTGCATAGACTAGACACTATCTCACTCAATAGAAACAAGATAACAAGAAATAGCATAAATCATCCTCATACCTCGCTCCCATCACATTCGACTCATATGAAATGTGAGCCACTGGATAGTTACTAGCAGGAACTCCAGGGAAAATTTGCTTGGAGCCAACCATCCGAGTGGAATGACTTTTGGCCATTTTAACTCCCAAATGTGGAGGCAGAGCATCATACACAACAAACTTAGTCCCCAGGAAATTGGATCTTCTGAAGAGAAGGAACAGAACCTCCCATTATTGAGCCTTTTCTAGAAATATAAACTATAATAAAAAGGGGAAGTTGGCAAACCTTAATTTTCCTATGTAAGTGCCACTGCCCTTGGACATATCATCAGCATTTAGGGAAATTATGTAGTCCGTGCACGTGGCCCTCCTATACTTACGAGCGGCAAGAAGAAATTTGCCATCATCATCAAGTGCTGCCAGAGACAGTAAGAATGATGTAAAAGTTGAAAATAAATAAATAAATAAAGCAAGGTCTGCAAACAGCTCTCATCAAGGCGTATAATGAAGATATCTAGCAAAGAATTATGGCACAGTAGACAATATATAGAGATTAGAGCATGTGCCAAACATAATTTTAAAAGTTATTTTTTAACTAACGAAACTTTCCAGGAAACAAGTCTTAACTTACTTTCTTGAAGAGTAACTTTAAAGCTTATTAAAACATGTAACACAAGTTACGGGAAATAAAATTAGCACTTGGAATGGAAGATGAACTTTAAGGTGGGGAGTTGGCATAAATGTTCTAACAGAATGTCTTTAAAGATTCTTAATGGCTCCTGCTTCGAACGTTGGTCTCAGGTATCACGCAATCACTTCTACAGTTATATTAAAAATTTTCAAACCAGCAAATCTTGTTTACGATTTATTCATGCCCAATTAAATCAACAACCCTAAAAATAATCCAAAAATAATGTTCAATAAGTGAATGATGGAATCATCCCTGCCCATCTGCATAGTTTTCTGTTTCACATTTAGCAATTGTAAATCTTCCTTCCTCAAAGAGAGTTGAGCAGAATAGCAAAGCGAGTACAAGTATTAGAAGAACAATTCTAGCTAAACTGGGAATAGGAGGGTTAGTGGAAGCAGAAAATAGCTTCTGAAATGATAGTGATGTGGTGCAAAAGGAATTGGACTTCATGGCAAAGTGGGACCGGCGCAAGAAAAAATAATTTGGAGGAAATTTGGGATTGTCCGTTTTTGACGAATTGGTAGTCTAATTCGGTTGGAAACGGGCTGAAAAGTTAAACTCAAAGGCTTTGCTTTTGACGTAGGACCAATTTCGGGCAAATTCCTTCGTTTTGGCCTTTTTTCATTTTTTGGTAATTCTTATTTTGAGTATATCTCAATCAAATAAATTCGGATTTATATTCCATTTGTTGGAGAGTAATCCTGAATATTAGGACTATTACTTTTTTTTTTTTTATTTAATTTCCTAATTTTCTAGGTTTT